GGAAGAGATCAACCAAAGACCTTGTAGGCCTATATGCGTCACCCTTGGACACAGACAATAGGGGGGTGAAGGCCTGGGGTGAGGGGCGGCGGTGGGCTGGAATTCAATGGTGAAAAAGGGGGACATATGTAATACTTTCAATAATAAAGATTAAAAAAAAATTATCTTAAAATATCTAAGCTAGAGCGATCGCTTGATAGATGGTCAACAGCTAGGAACTTCCGGTTATAAGATAACTAAGTCCCAGGGATGCAACGTGCAGGATAAAGACATCTAAGCTCGGTGTCACTGTTATTAGTCTAAGACACAAGAGGCTTCTGCATGTCACCAGCCGGGGATGCCTTCACCGAGAATTTGTTGAGTGTTTAATCTAGAGCAAGCGCTGTGATAAGCCGTGTAAATTCCAGTAACGCCCTCGGAGTCAAAGTGTTTCCAGGGGCAGATGAGCCCTTACAGAAGCTGCCCTCCCATCCTTAGCTCACGGGGCCTCACCGACTCCTCCTCTTTGCTCACCCTACCTTTCTTTCATTCTTTCCTTTTTTAAAAAAAAATATTTTTATTGATTTCAGAGAGGAAGGGAGAGGGAGAGAGAGAGAGAAACATCAATGATGCAAGAGAATCATTGATTGGCTGCCTCCTGCATACTCCCCTCACCCCCGCTAGGGATTGAGCCCACAACCCGGGCATGTGCCCTTGGCCGGAATCAAACCAGGGACCCTTTAGTCTGCAGGCCGATGCTCTATCCACTGAGCCAAACCAGCAAGGGCTCACCCTACCTTTCTGTTCTAGAGTGAACTCAGCATTCTCCTGCTCTAGAGCCTTCCGCTGCCTCCCCCTCCCAGGGTTGTATGGCCCCAGGGGACAGTGGGGGGACAGAGAGAGAGCATCAGTTCTTCCTGGAGGGGGAGCAGGAGATGTCTACAAAGCATCTCTTAAAGTCCGAGTAGGATTCCTCCAGGTGTTGGCATTGCCGGAAGTGCAAGAGTTAGGACCTAGAGTTAACTGTTAGGTAAATGGAGGTGACATGGGAAGGGAAGTCAAACCATGGAGAGCAGAAGGGGGGAAAAGAGCAGCTTTTCTCATCTTGTCCAACGCAATTATTGCAATTTTAAGGCCCAGTTTTTCCAGGGCCGTTCTCCTGCCTGCTTAGTTCCACACATGAAGGGTCACGTGACCATGGCCACGCTCCCAGCAGGCTCATGGCAAGCGTCGGGGATTGGACCCGCCCGGCCTACATAGCTTATTATGTTTGCAGAATGATTTGTGATCTCAACAGTCTCTTAAAAAGAAAGTACGTTGGTTCCATTTGAGCAATTTCCGACATTATTAACGTGCTGCGTAAACACAACCCCAAGTGGGCAAGTGCCCGCCAGGAAAGACTGACAGGGTCGGCCTGCTGCTCGGCTCCTGGTTCCAGCAACAGCTTCACGGGAGGCTGCGATGGGCTCAGAAATGCCTGCTTTGGCTCGGCAGGTCCAAGGTGCTGTCAGGGAGAACAGGGCTAACCCGTGTTCAGATCAAAGAGTCTTAGAGTCAAGAGGATTTGATGTGGGATTGACAGCAACCATTCTCTGGAGGCTTTACCTCAGTTTCCAAACATCTGGCGATCACCTTAGAAGTCACGCCCCACAAGAGTCTAAGAGGGAAAGCACACTGCCAACTTCAGGACCTGGAAGGGGGCGATGGAAGCTAGATGAGGGGGATCAAAGGAGGCTCTTCTGTCTTTCCTACCCCACATCTTTACTAAAAAATATTTTCAATGATTTCATAGAGGAAGGGAGAGATGTAATAGACCCTATGGACCCACCACCCAGATGAAAATAATATTAGCATTTCCTGTCTTCCTTTTGCAATCTCCTTCTATTTTTTAAGAATATATTTGTATTGATTTCAGAGAGGAAGGGCAAGGGAGAGTGAGATAGAAGCATCAATGATGAGAGAGAATCATGGATCGGCTGCCTCCTGCGCGCCCCCTTACTGGGGATCGAGCCCGCAACCCGGGCATGTGCCCTGACCGGGAATCAAATCGTGACCTCCTGGTTCATAGGAGGTCAAGCCTCATAGGTTGAGGCTCAACCATGGAGCCAGACCGGCCAGGCAATTTCTTCATAGCGTCTTCTACAAACCATGGAGTAGGAAGTTGATTGGTCCAAGACAATGGTTATTCTACTCTCCTTGCAAATGGCTGATTGAGACACGGGCAGGGATGCCCTGGGCCCATAAGATGTGAGGAACAGACTCCTGGGAAAGAGACATGCCAGGAGAAATTATTGTTCTGGTTTTGGGTTGAGGTTTTGCAAGGATCTGATGACTAATGAGAGGGACGGCCCATCTTTGCAGTAGAGAGCACACAACGGAAAGCAACGGAAAGCTTGGTTGTGTTGGTAAGACATTGAATTAACCATATACGAAAGAAATGCCTTTACAGAAACAGAACGTAATAAAAATGTGGCCTTTAATAGCAACAAATGTCTCCATTAAAAAAAAAAATTTCCAGACTTACCAGTGTGAACGATCACATAGCGATCATCATAAAAAGTTATTTTGGGTGACATATCAGTCGACAATTTCATGAATTACATATGTGAATTACCATCCATTTTGATTTAAAGCAAATTATTGGAAACAATCTAACTTGAAAAAGGACTTATTTATGAGTCATTTACTTTCCAGTGAGAACACCAATATTTAGAATTGTCCTTTTGTGTGGTGCCCGGGAGCCTTTACTATACTCCAGGCAATACACACAGTAAGAGTAGGATGGATGGGAGGATCCCTTCTCCTGTCAAGAGGAAGAAGGGAGCCCTAGCCAGTTTGGCTCAGTGGGTAGAGCGTCGGCCTACGGACTAAAGGGTCCCTGGTTCGATTCTGGCCAAGGGCACATACCTGGGTTGTGGGCTCGATCCCCAGTAGGAGACGTGCAGGAGGAAGCCAATCCATGATCCTCTCTCCTCATTGATGTTTCTATCTCTCCCTCCCTCTTCCTTCCTCTCTGAAGTCAATAAAGAAATATTAAAAAAAAAAAAAAGAGGAAGAAGGGAATACTGAAAGTGTCAGGAAACGAGACCTGCCTGTCCCCTTGTAGACACCTT